TGAAACAACTGGAGGAAAGAAAAAAATGGGAAGAGGCAAAGGCAAAGCGGCATGATGAGCGCATGCAGCGATTCGATCGGTTGATCGACGTACTCTCAAATAAGGACGGGTTATAATATGGGCAATAAACTTTTATAACACTAGCAGTGTCTACTCCATCTAATTTGTTAAAAAAAAACATTGCTTCTAGACGCGGCACCCCACTTCGCAAAACATTTGCACACTGAATAAATCGCGAAGCAAAGATGAACTTCTAGCACTGTTCCTTTGCAATGAACTCTCGCAGAGACTGACTGTAGCCTGGCAGACTGCAATCAAAATCTCCTTCACTTTCATCATTGCCCACATCTTCTTCTTGGGGAAGCGTTGCAAGTTCCTCAAGGAAGTCCCTTTCATCGTTGCACATGTTGTGTAGCACACACGCAGCCATAACTATATAGCAGCACTGTTGCACACTTTTTGCATCAACAAGGTAGAGCCTCCTAAAACGCTGTTTAAGCAGGCCGAAGGTGTTCTCAATAAGCACTCGTTGTTGACTGTGTCGTTTATTGAAGCTCTTTTTCCACGTAGGAAAAGAACTTCCATTGTCCTTGAATGGGGTCATGAGCCATGGCATCAGTGGATATGCACTGTCACCCAGTATATAATTGTCTTCACATTCCTGAATTGCGCGTGCAAAGAAGGGGCTCTCCCTCAGGACACGGGCGTCGTGAACCGAACCTGGAAACCCAATAAACACGTTCAGCAACTTGTTCCTGTCGTCGCAGATTCCTTGCAGGATTATCGAAGGCCACTTTTTCCGGTTGAAGTAAGACTGCGTAGATTCGCTTGGAGTGAGTATCCCGATGTGTGATCCATCGATACAGCCGATGGTGTTTCTTGGGCCCTTGCCTTTACTTTTGGCGAGGAAGCCGTTCTTTATGCGGGTCACTTCCGCGCTACTAGGCCAGCAAATTATCTCATCGCTAATAGCGTGTAAGAAGTGAACGACCCGTGTCACACAAACATGAACAGACGACTCGGTAACATCGAATTTGTCGCCTATGGCGTACATAGATATTTGTGAGCCTAGGTACACAAGCGCTATGAGGCATGTTTTTTCGGCACTGATTTGTTGGCGGCCTTGCACTGCCCTTGGGTAGAAGGCTGAAGTCTTGAACTTGGCACTGAAACTATCAAAAGTCTCCCTGGACAGCCTGAAGAGGCGCTTGAATTCATACTCATGGTACCTGCCGATAATGCTTTCGTACCCGGGTACACGGTTGGCATCGTCGCGCACCAACGCGCACGCGACCAAGATGCACGCATCGTCGTACTCATCGTCGCAGTCACTGCAAACGGCACCGCTGACGGAATCGTCGTCGCTGCTCGAGTCCAGCAATTCCATCGCAGTCACAAGAAGTGCCATCACGGCCGTGTATTGATCGGACAAGGCGGCGGAGGCGGCTATTTTAGGCTTACACTACAAGGTGTTCTCCGGCCTGCACCATACCTGCACTCACGTCAACTCACGCCTTCGTTTTGGCTGTAGCCGTCGCGCGCTAGTGTCGGCTAGTGCCGAGGCGTGGTTGAGGCTGCACCTGCACTTGCTCGACCGGCGCTGCACGCTCACTGCACCGCTTGGCACCGCTTTTTCTGCACCTGCACTTTTCTGAACTAGTGCAAGCCAAATCGAAGATTCCTTTAATCAATCGACCGGGACGGTCGGTTTTGAAAGGAGGGAATCGACACAAGGTAGGCTGGCAACTATAATAGCCAGCCCATGGAGGAAGTAGAGTGTACTAGTACACTCTAGAGGAAGGAAAGGTCTCCGGAAAGGTCTCTAGAGGAAGGAAAGATAAGGAGAGGCCCTGACGTCACTCGTTGTGAAGCCGCGATGAAGCCGGAAGTCGGCCATATTGACTAGGCAAATTCTCCTCTCTTGTTTACATATGAATGCGAAGCACAAGGCGCGACTCCCTCTCCGGCTCGGAAAGCACGTGGGCTGCGCAGCGCGTGTGTCGTGACGATCTGAAACTAATTGAACTGGGCTCATAATGGAACTGGGCTCTGAGCCAGCGGCACACCTTCAGCGAAATCGCTTCGTCCGAGTAATAACAGCTCGCCGACAACGAAGCGACTACGAGAGAACGCGCGCTAGATGCACTGACAACGGCGAGTGCTTTCACGTCATTACTTCAGCAACTGTACAGACAACACGTGGTCCTCCGTGGTCGCCGGTATCTCAGGAGCATCTGCACTGTAGGGTTCCTCGATGCGCGCTCTCCCCTCGAATAGAAATCTGAGACCTTGACACTCCCGATGAGAAAACTTTGTAGTTTTGTCATGTTATTTGAGTACCACTCGTTTTGACACAACGAACTCTGCATGCAGCCGCGCGACGCCCGTTGGCTGCCTATCGTGGCTATAGGTGGCCTGCGGAGAGGGCATCTTAATGGCGGACGCCGTAGCAGACGACGCTGTTGTCTCCACCCTGCAAGGGGGCGCGCGCATCGAGGAACCCTACTGCACTGGGAGCGCGCGCGCCGTAGCCTGCGAAAGCGTTGTAAATGCTCGTTCGTAGTAGCATTTTCTTCCTCCGTGGAGGAGGACAACGAAGTAGTTCTGTGGGCGCGTGCTCTGGTGTTCGCGCTTTTGGCCTTTGGTTACGAAAGTAAACGCCCTGTTTTGTGCCGCGTACTTGTGTCTTTGTGACAATATTAAAAACAACACACAAACATGTTAAAAGTACCAATTGTATATACATACCGTCTGTTAATCTGCGTAAATTCATTGTAACCAGTTCTCACTTGTATCGACAGCTTAAACTACATGTGCTCTTTCCGAATAATCTATTGGCGTAACGCCATTGCAAGCCAGCAAATTTATGACGATGAATTGTATTATAAGTGTAGTTCTATTAATAAGTGCCAAAAGTATAGGCAGGCAGTGGTGCATCTTGTTTTGAGAAACGTAACTTGTATATGTACACTGTAAACACGCACGCACACACATACACACACTAACATGCAATGCCCCTTAGAGAGAGAGAGAGAAATAAAGATGCAAGGAAAGGCAGGGAGGTTAACCAGACGCACATCCGATTTGCTACCCTGCACTGGGGAAGGGATGAAGGGGAGAAAAGAGGTTGCAGAGATGAGAAGGTACACACAATCACGAGCACACTCAGCGCAGCTACAAATCTTAGGCGGTGCATTTCTCGCCTGACTACGTTAGAGATGAACCAGTTTTAAGACGTCATACTGTCGGAAAGGTGAAATTTACAGTGCGCATTTGTACAGAGACACGCTGTATTCAGCTTCGATTCGCCTACTGTAAACGTTCGGCGCAAGGCTACCCATTTTTTTTGGGGGGGGGGTGAAAGGGCGTAACAGTACGACTAACTTTAACAATCGTTGCTCGCGTGAATGTGTGTAAATATTTTAGTGTACCCTGAAAAGTTAAATGACGAAAGCATTTCATGGTGTAGGGGGCTCAGATTCCCCTCCTTTCCCCTCTTTACTTATGGCTTCCTGGTTCTACGTGCGGTTGACATGGTATTTGTTTTTTAATCTCGCAGCTTTCTGAGCTTAGTTTTCTTACAATAAATCGGCTCAGTATTTCTGAATATTGTAGACGCCTAACCAACGAAGAAAGAGTGAAGACAGAAGAAATCTGTATAAGACACGTCCTTTCTGAATTATTTTAGACCTCTCACAAGGGCTTTTATGGAGCTCAAATTTAGTAGATTGGCGTGTCATACTTCAAGGGCTAGGGCATCATGTGCTAGACATAAATGATGGGCAGGTACGAAGAAATCTGCATCAAGAAAGCTCGACGGAGGAGCCGAAGCGCATAGCAGTTTTTGCACGCGGCGCGCGGCTGTATCAGTACTAATCGATTGCAGCGCCGCAGCTGCCTTAATGAAAGGGCGCTGCTTAATGAAAGGGCGCGGGCCGCTGCCCTAATGAAAGGCTATAAGAGCACCATTATAACGTTCACAAAGCAATCCAGGGCCACATTGGTATTCACTGCCGCGATTGTGGATGTTCCCTTATGTTTTATCAATGTGAAGTGGTTAAAAAGCACCCGTCACAATTAACTCGGGAAATTATAGAAGCGCATTGTACAGCAAGAGCTGGCATCACGTGTATTAGCGCCCCGTCTTTGGTTTTATCTGAACATGAAGTGGCCTTCCTTAACCAGGATAACCACCTATGAATCTGTGATATGTGACGGTGCGATGTTGTGTGTAATCTTGTTGCGTTGGGTGGTTTTGTATGCTTGCGCCGGTCTACATATTTGATGCAGTTTGACAATAAAGCTCAGTTGGAAGTTGGCGCTCTGTCCTCTTGTGTCGGTCTGCTCGGTCGTTTCTTCTTCCCCGTTATGCGCTATACCTGTTCAAGCAGCTACGGGCAACGCAGAAGGTGGCGAGGCGCGGTCACACCACTCAACACTTCTAGTACACTCTACTGGTACTGGTTTTTCGCGCCAGCTTTTATTATCTATGCTTCAACCGTGCTATGACCGTGCAGCAACGTACAAAAGTTGTCGTATGCGTTTTATTGTTTTGTGTCGATTAGTAAACGTTAAAACCTTCAAATACGTATCTTTTTTTGACCAATTTGATGGCAAAGTTAGCTACAGACTACAGTTGAGAGCATGAGCAGTCCATTTTGCCGGTTTTGTCTGCTTTTTCACTTGTTACATTTGTTTGGCGACAAACCGTAAAAAGTGCCTCTAAGATTGTTATGTATTAGAAAAACTTATTTTAAAAAATGTATAATGTGAATAACGAAATAAACGTTATAGTGTCCATTATATTAAAAAAAAACGAGGCAATAAAAGTCTTTTATTGTTGACATTTGTTGAGTACGAAACTACTACAAAACTAAAATAATAATTGGTTAATTAAAAACTTCGTTGGCCTCTTTAAAAGTTAGCTGGCAAAGATCTATCTTCTGTAATTGCTTAGTGCTGCATCAATTCACTAAACGAGTCACGTGTCGTATTCGGTGCCATATCGGTCGCGCTCACGGTGGTCGCGCTCGAATTGAACCACTGACTAAACATTTGGCCAACTTAGCGTTCTTGGAGCTTAGACGCGAGGAATAACGCGCTCAAGTTTCAATTTTTGCTAGTAGACACCGCATCTGTTCATTGCTGCAACGTTCTTTCGCTCACGAGCAAGCGACCACGCCGAAGCGGTAGGTAAACCATTCTCTTGTCCTAAACGGTACGCGCCTGTGGATGGTTTTAAATGCGAGAGCGATACGCAGACAAGAAAGACGCGGACTGGCGCTTGTCTGTCCTGTCTACGTATCGCGCTCGTATTTAAAACCATTATGAATCACCAACTCGCCCAATCAACCATTTTGACAACTGCGAAAGACAGACGCAACACACGCGCTAAACCGCGGAGTGTCACTTACACTTACAGTTTCCTGCCACCTCTATTTGAATGAGCGCTAGCTTTCTTTGCAAGACTTAAATGCAGCTCGTGTTCCTTACTTGTGTACTGAGTGTGTTGTTGCTTCTATAATGCCTTTTGCTCCTAGACACAGTTGATATGGGCTGCTGTTGTGGCTCGCAGTTTGGGCAAGTTGGTCGGGAGGACGAAAAAGGAAGAAGCAACGGGACAGACGCCGCCCGTTGTCTCTACAGACGCCGTGCCGTTGTCTCTTCGTTCTCGTGTAGTTGCGAATTTTTCAAGATGGGTGCCGTCACAGATTTTGACAGCGTCTACTAGAGCCTACACATGGTTTCTAATCGGTACTAATCAAGTATGTTATGCACTTAAGGGACAAGAGACTTAACGTAAAAATTTCAAGAAATTTTGTTGAGCAAATGTAGTCGAAGTGAGAAAAAAAATCCCCTTTGAAATCCTTTGTCACACTGTTGTTTATATGCAGAGATTTCAGCGCAAAATTTTAAAATGGAACACCGAATTTCATTTGCTTTTATTTAGCAAACCCATGATTGAGAAATTAAACACAGCAGTGTTGTCAGAGAATAATTTATCCAAGTAAATTGACTCAGCGTTTCAATTTAGTGTCCCTCTGAGGGCATTGTTATGAAAAAGAAAAAAAAATAGGGGAAGAACACAGGGATGGAATATATAGCATGCAAACATCAGTTCCACCAGCATCAGTCTCATGTCTGACTGGTTTATGCTTTAGCGCCATGTACAGGCGTGAGCGTAAGTGTGCAGACCACGGGATCGCGTGGCCGAAGGCATCGACATGCTATCTAGCGACGAAACGCCTGCTGCAGTGTGCATGCGCGTTTCCGTCGCGACCAACGAGCTAGTAGCCAAAACGACACCTGGGTGTCGCTGTCTTCGCTTCGTCGAATTCGTGCAGCTTTTTTTTTAACGTTGAGGCTGCGACAGTGCCAGTTCGAGAACCGGGATCGCAGAGTTATTTATGCCGTTTGATTCATAACTAAGCGCAGCCAGCCTCGCAAAACCTGATGAAGGAAGAGCACACAAAATTAAATTTTGTCTGCTCAGCTTGCCTTTGTCGCCTTAGGCCAAGTCGAACCTAAATGAGCTTAGTTAAATGAATGTAAGTGTAGCTGGATCTAATTCAACCTAGTCGAGTCGATATCACCTGATAAATTCGGGCGTAAGTAAGCTTAAGCCCAGTCCAGGTTGCTGTTTTTATGTTAAGTGTAGTAAAGTTTCGATGCGTCCAGATGGATCGAGAAAAGTACATCTACAGCCAAATTTAATTATGCATAGTTGATCATAGTATCATTTCATTTAGCCGAGCAAAATTAGCCCGAATAAGGTAAACCTTATCACGCCCAATTAATCTAAGTCGACTTCCCCATCAGCCTAGAGGCGCGAAACCCTGGAATATACTAATTAGTTCTTCCTGACACCATACCAATCAAGCTAATTTATGTCGTGTCAAGGCACATATACTAGTTATGGTTGATTATTTAGTCTGATATCCAGCCACACACAAAACATACCGAAGTTTCATGTTGTATAATTAGACTAATTATATATAAGTAAGCTGATGATGCAGTGCCAAGCAGCCCCGCCGCGGTGGTCTAGTGGCTAAGGTACTCGGCTGCTGACTCGCAGGTCGCGGGTTCGTATCCCGGCTGCGGTGGCTGCATTTCCGATGGAGGCGGAAATGTTGTAGGCCCGTGTGCTCAGATTTGGGTGCACGTTAAAGAACCCCAGGTGGTCAAAATTTCCGGAGTCCTCCACTACGGCGTCTCTCATAATCATATGTGGTTTTGGGACGTTAAACCCCACATATCAATCAATCATGCAGTGCCAAGGTAAGCATAGAAAAATTTGACTAAGTGTGGTTGATCATGCCACTGTCAGACTAGTCTGATTATAATTAGATGTAATTAAACAAGTTCTAATAAAACAATTCAAGTAATTGAAGCTGCATTTTTATAAGCTCAGAGAATCCAGGTCGAGGAAGATACTAATTATTAATCACCGAGTCTAGTCTCATTAAGCTAAATAAAAATCTTAGCCTTAAAAGCCTTAAATCTTATTTTAATTATGTCTTGTTACTTATTGCACTGGTTTCATCATAACTAAGCTCATTTAAGTTCAACTTGGCCTAATGCAACAAAGGCAAGCCGAGCTGAGAAAACCTAATTTGTGTGCTTGGTAAGCTTCATCAGGTTATGGGAAACTAGCTACGCTTAGTTATGCTAATAAACTGCTATAAATCGCGATGCATGTCCAGTAATAGAACCGGTGCCATTGCAGCCACTATGTAATATAAAAAGAAGAAACAGCACAAATTTGATGGAGCAAAAACAGCGACACCAAGTTGTCATTTTGGCTACGAGCGCGCTGAAAAAAGCGACATGAGAGGTCAACTGATACGACGGGAGGGACACGCATGCGCACCACAGCAGGCGTCTCGTCGCCAGATATCGCATCAATGCCTTCAGCCACGCAATTCGGTGGTATGCTCATATATGCTCACGCTTGTACCAAGTGATTCAGACTTGGACGTTATTGCAAGCATCGGTTCCTTCTTGACCACTAGTAAAGGTAAAGAAGGAACTGAGAGATATTACTGCCAACGGTTGACTTCCAAACCGACCACATGTGCTGAAACTGTTTCAGTGAGACCCATTCCAAGCAACGATGGACGTTCTGCCAAATGAGGTTCTGCTGCCCATCTTGGCATTAGTGGATGGCGCGAGCCTCGTAAGGTGCAAACGCGTGTGCAAGCGGTGGCTGGCACTGGTGGAGGCTATACTGCAACACCGCCATGTCATTTGGAAGATGATATGCCAGTCCGAAATCGACCGTGACATGCTGCTTGAACTGCTCGGCAATTCATATCCAGAGTAAGGCTTACTGCATGAAATGTACTCTGGTTTCTGCTTCACTCTTTCGTTACCTCGCCTATTCAAATCAATCACCGGTGATCGATGCTTTGGATTGTCAATTTTGGCATGTTAATTTGTTTCTTGTGCACTCAGCACTTTCTAGTAGTTAGTTTAGCCACTCAACTTTCGGAATCAATTCGAATCTGCCCGTTTTGGCAACATGGTGTTTTGACAGACCTTTGCGTGGACCAATGTGCGCATGTTGTCGGGAAAATATGCCTGGCTGTGGTTATGCTACAGTACCATCAGAAGTTCTGAGTTGTAATTATTGCCAGAAATTTATGCCAGCTAGTCAAAAGAAAGGTGTTACCAGGAGTCGGGGATAACTTATTCTACAAAAATATATTTCCGAAGGTCCGCCGCATGTGTGAAGTGTGGAGGTGACCTTCTCTACCAGTTTCTTGCAGCTTTGGGTTCACTTGTATCATATCAGACACAGGGCCGCATCTAGTGTCACTAGTTGCTGCTATGACTATGTCGTCACGCTTACGTGGGTCCACACCTGCGCTGCAAAAAACACGCTACGCTCGAAACTGTTTTGCAACCTCAGTTAAATTGAGTGAGGACCAGCTTACAGTCCGAGGATGACAGCATCTCAGCTTCAAGTTTTATGGTGATGGTCTTTTGAATCAGCCTAAGACATCCACTGTCGTTCATGTGCTTGTTTTGTTTACGGCCTCGTGTTGTCTCCTCCGCTGCAAGTACGTAGCTGCTGACCTTTGGGCACAATCCTATACCTATTCTGCTTACATGCGAGTTCCACACGTTGCTGTGGCGTGGTGTGCTGGCGCCGGCTGCAGAGCTTCTTTTAGCGACAAAAAGGCCACTATCCTGGCCCCGACTACGGAACTGCACGCATTGCTTTAAATCTGCGTGCAATATTTTTTCTTTTATCTAATATGGTGTACAATGTGCAAAACTGCAAAGAAATATGCTATGACTTATACATTGGAATGCCAACCTATGCTGAGTGAGGAGGCTCATGGAAAGAGGTGATTTTAGACGAAATAGCAAAGTTCACTGGACATCTGATTTATGAAGGGATTGCAAGCATCCATCTATATTGAAACATCTGCAGGCTTTTATTGCAAAATATATATATATATATATATATATATATATATCGAGACAAGTTTATGAGTTCACAAAAAACCAATCAACGGTTCACTGCATGGTACGAGCAATGAAGTGGCACCTTGGTTCCGGTTTTCCTTGTCTGTGTAAATAGAAAAATTTTGTACACCATTTATTATTTTTCATATTGTTCTTGGGTAATTTCTCATCAATATGTATATTCTGAATTTTCTTGGTTTTAAGTATTTCTGCTTATACTATAGTGTTTTTTATTGCTGGCAACCAAAATTACACTTTTACATTTTTATTCCTTCCAAAATATTTCTATTGCTCTAAAAGATGTTTCTTTTTTTGGAAAGAGCACTTCATTGTGCATAATTTGGTATGCTGCAATGCATGCTAGAGTACTTTTTGAATTGGCATATGAAAAACTGTCATCTTAGAGCTGTAACGAAAGAGTTAAATATATATGCAGAATTGCTTGCAGATGCAGTTAGGCTGGGGTGAGTTTGTGTGTTGCAGGGGCAAAGCCAAAAATTTTTTTAAGGAAGTGGGCAGTCTGACACCCCTTTGCATGTTTGTGCATGTTTGTGTATGCATGCATAAATACATGCATACAAAATATAAAAATTCTGAGAGAGGGTGATGTAGCCCCTCCAAATCAACACCTTGCTATACCAGTGGTGTACAGATTGTTAATGGTACTATGATTTGTAAAGAGAGTCAGTATCCCACTAGCTAATAAAATTTTTGTTAGACACATGTACAGCAGTTATGATATTCTTTGTATATGTGTGCCCAAGTAAAGACAGATGTACCTCTGTAACAGCGTGTTACTCTCAAAACTATTGGCCGCAAGAGCCTCCACTGGGGAGGCCGACGGTGCAATCGTTTCGACATCACAAATAGGATGCTCCTGCTCGCCCTGCTGCGAAAGGCGATGTTCTGCTGGAATTGCTGTGCGCAGCACTCGTTTCTGTGTGAAGCTTAATATGGCCAGCTGGAGATGGTATCGCTTTATAAGCAGTGCTAGGTGCCAATTATTATATCATGTGCGGGGATTTACATCCCAATACTATAGGTGATTGAGGGACGTGCTGTAGAGGAGGCCTCCTAAAATAAATTTGGGCCATCTGGTTTACTTTAACGTGCACTGGCATAGTGCAGTACATGGACCTTCAACATTTCAGCTTTATCTAAATGCAACCACCGCGGCCAGGATCGAACTCGCGAAGTTCAGTCAGCAGCCGAGTACCTTAACCGCTACACCACTGCAGTAGACTGCATGCAAGAAGCTTCAGTTTGTTGGCGTACTGTTCGGCATATCAGCGCCACATGTATGCGACAGATCTTGTTGTACATTTTTATTATTGCCTCATAGGTGAAGAAATGAGCCACGCGTTCCCATTTTCGCTGGTAAAGCTGAAAAGGGGAAAAGACGCCAACGTTAACACGTAGGTCCGCAAAAAACACTCTCATTTCACACGTACTTGGCTGGTAAAGCAGAGGGTTTGCAGAAAGCACTGTTGTGACACAGATTTTGTGTTGATGAATAGGGGTAAGAAGTTGTAGCCTGTTTACTAGCCTTTGAATCATAATCGTAAATGAAATCGATATGGCGCCGGCTCTGAGCATATTTTTCCTTTTTTTATGTTCGTACAAGTGTGATGGAAGCCACACAAAAAAGAGTGACAACAGGGCAGTACGTTAGCGTACATCATGACCCTTGTCCTAAGAGAATGCTCGCTTACTCGTAAAATATGCCCAAAGTAAAATAACTGGCACCACTGCTGCCTTGAAGTCACTGAACCAGCAAGCCGTGATTTCAGGGACATTATTTGTGCTTGGTGTGGCCTAGTTAACTTTAGTTCACTCTCTATCTCGAAAGAGTGAATAGCTTCACTTTAGAAAACTTCATATTTCTACTGCTTCAGAGCAACCCGCACAAGGTCAATTCATCAGCACAGATAACATCACAATGGTGTATTGGCGATGACATCTAAACAGGCAATAAAATGACATTTCGTTCTTAATTTTCTGCTAGTGTATTCCACCTATTGGCACAAAAAGTAACAAGGGCTGATATTGGAAGAATACCTACACAATCTGTTTAAACAAAGCATTTCTGTTTAGTGAATATTTAATAGCATAGAGTTTCTATAAGTACACTAGAAGGAACTCTGGCGCTAGTTTCTATGGCAGCTGCAATGCATGGCGCTTCAGCGAGCATGGGAATGATAAGTAGTGCATGGATTTGCCTAATCTTCATACTTTTGGCTTCATTTGGCTTCTCATAGCTTGTAGCTGCTTTGTCAAGAAAAAATTGGCCGTAGTTTATCAGTTATGCTTTACCACCTTGATCTTTGAGGTTTTCCAATCCAAATCTGGTCACAAAGTTCAAAACTGTTTGTTCTTTTATTTGAAACAAAACCAGAACGCTGCAATAAACAAGGCCACAAATGCATTTGAAGCCAGCAACCACAAAGACTAGGCAAATTCATGTACCACGCATCATTCCACTTGTCGCAGGATTATCACATCATCAGAGTTCCCTCTAGTTAATGTTAGGAAATTCTATGTTTACTAGTACAGCACGTTTGCATCACCACACTTCTTGTGTCCCTCGTCAGAATTCGTTGTATGCATTTCATGCTTGCTTACCCGAAGGTGGATGACTTGAACACCGTGCTTTGCAGGGATGAATCTGGAGCTGTGGAAATGGACTGGTTCAGCGTGTACAAGTGTTGGTACAGCACAAGGGTTGTTTCAGAGTTTCCGCATCACATTCGCAAGCTAAAATCTTTCAAAGGGCTAGTGACGTGCCTCAAGACATCAGGTGAGTGACGGGGTGTACCAGAGGAGATGGGGCACTTTGTCTTATTGAATCTCGGAGTTTTCTGCCCTTACCTAGAGGGAAAAGTGACGGTGCGAGCTGTTGGACAAATGGGAATGCTTGATTATGTGAGCTTCAAACTTGACTCGGATTTGTATCATATACGTAGAGCCCGCACACCTCGAAGACACGTTTGGTTTTGATGTGTTCATTGCATCAAAATGGTTGATTTCTTGCTGGAGGAAGACGTAGTCGGCTACTCATTTTTATGTGCAAAGCCCCCTTATGGCATGGCTTGTGCGTCCCCCGTTGTCCGTGCGTAACCGCTGGTGGCACATACCCAAAAGAGTGGGTATGTGCTACAGGGGAAGGAGAGAAACGATTGTGATGAAAAGATGCGAGATGGCGGTACTTGGAGTGTTCACTAGATGGACGGATGAACGTACTGCACGCACGGATGGACAAACAAGTAGGCTGACGGATGGAGGGATGGCTCAACTAGAAGTAGGCGCGGATGGATCAACTGACGCACAGCCAGACGCACGCACGGACAGCTGGACAATCGCAGGGACAAACGCACGGATGGATAAGAAGAGGAGTTAAAACAAAATCACTCCACTTATCTGGCACAGCAACAATATGCTCAAATATGAACTGAAAGAAGTATCACACCATTGACTAATTTGAGCATGGCACGCTTTAGAGTGGTGAGGTCGCCGCGGGAAACCGCAATGTGTCTGCATGTGTGTGACTGAAAAGCCACGCTTTCAAAGAAAAGAGAGAAAGTGCTCAAGGTGAAGAGTCATGTGTTGTACCCTCTTCTACCTTAGGATCGCTCCCGGTTAAGCTTCCAGTACTTTTGTCGGAAAAAGAGACTGCAATCTGAGTGTGAGGCACTTTGCTTGTACTGGATAAATTCTAAAAATTTTTACAGGGGTCAACTCATGAGGCAATAAGCCCTTTTACTTAATTTATTCTATGGCCACTTGGAAAGATGTTGCAGAGCCTCTGTGAAGAATTTTAGGTGGCCAAAATATCCGCAGCCCCCTCCACTACTGCGTCGGTCATGCTCGTATAGTTGTTTCAGGACGATACACCTCAACAATTATTACTATTATTATTGTGTCTCTTGAAATCAGCATTACCTTTCTAGATGCACCCTGTATGTGTTTTAATTCTATTGGTACCATAAAAAAAAGTTCTACCAAATTCATGGAAAAATCTTTTTGCTCGATATTTAGCTTTTCTTTTTTTAGAATAAAATGGTACTGGGATAGGTTCGATTGGTGAAACATGGAAAAGGCCCTTGCCTTGCTGTGGGCATAGGCGGACTGATGAGAATGGTTCTTTCAACTCCATTGGGGCTCCTTTGTTTCACTAATTGCGTGAAAATAACTGGAAGACAGCTTCGTCACATGGAGGTACAGCAAAACATTGCTATAAAAGGAAAGCACTCGAAAATGGCACAATGCAAGTAAGTATGGGCATTCAGCATCAATAAACATAACGAGGATGAGTTTAGTCGTCATTTGTTCCACGTGGGCTCAATTTTCGTTGATGATAAGTATAGTCACAAAAGGGAGTGAAAGGGTCAAGTTTTCTGAAGGTGAAACAAATTTAACAGTATTGTGATAGGAATTATTGGAACACTCTGATTTTTTCACCATCATTGTAAATTTGATTTTCATGCACAATCCAAGTGAGATAAAAATTTATCATGCAGACAGTGTGCAAGAAATTGATGTGCTGTATGTGTGAGGGAAAGCATACGTGGTCTGTTAGAAAAGTATCCTACCTTATTTTTTTTTTCTGAGCCCCTGATGGATTTGAAACAAGCGTGCTTGCATCAGACGACCTTGAACCTTTGTGCTCACGCTTGTATATTTTCCCGCCTGCTAATAGGGTCAGTCATTGGGACTCAGTGTCTGAGTGAGGTAGTGCGCAGTGTCCTCGTCGGTTTTTCATTGCAAGGAAAACGGCGGAGTGACTGGAGTAGTGCTACTGCATCAAATTTTGCCAGAAACTGGGTGACAGCAGAGCGGAAATTCATTGGGAAGATCAAGACAGCTTTTTGGTGACGACGCTGTGAGCTGCATACAGATTAAGGAGGGGTACAACCGGCCACACATCGGCCACACATCGTAGTCGGTTCTTTACAGCGAAATGTGTGATGAGATCACAACTCTGGTCTCGGGCAGCACTGCAGGTGTCCGTAACCACATCGTGCAAAATTGAATGAATGAATGAATAAACTTTGAAACTTTGAATGAATAAACCCATGTCCCTTCCCACTCTCCGTCAATTATGATGGCAGTGCCTCAGGTGGCCGCTCGAAGTCCTTGCACCCGGGCAGCATCTTCAGCTTGCCGGACGGCCTAAAGCTGGTCGGCCAGCTTGTCGCTTGTGAGTGCCGCCTCCCAGCAGCAGGGCAGCTGATTCCGCCGATTGGCAACAGTGGCCGCAGCCGCAGCAGAGGCCGGCCCCTGCCCTCGTGTTGTGGTGGCAGCAGCAATTGGTTTCGGTGTTCGTCCCTGCCTATCATGCGCCGCGAAGGGAGCGGCAGGCAGTGACGTTAACTTTTTCAGCTCACTCCCAAAGCATGTGCCGCAGTGTGGCCCTTTCCCTGCATGCTTTACACGCGTCCGTCGGGTATAGGTGAGAATAACACAGGCGTAGGATCATCGGGCTGGGGTAAATATTTGTCCGTAATAACCTCAGAGTTATGGCCTGTCTTTTGTCCATTTCGTTGTGTCGTTGTGGGTATTTGCATCTGTTTAGTCTGTAATGTTGTGTAGTGTCATTGAATGTGTTCAGGCGATCACCCCACGACCATTCCAGTTGTTGTTCTTGTGTGGATAGTGCCGTCACCCCGCTCTCGGAGGTGAAGGAGGCGACTGAATCGGCCGCGGCTCGGTGAGTGAGATTAGCAAATGAAACCTAGTACTAATGACACAGTGGGGCTTGATCCGCTGGGTGCCAGCCCAGTATTCCACCTTTGAGCCCTGCTGGTGCTTGGGGCTTGTTGGCAAACTTGCCTTAGGGAGGATTGATGTCGGGAAAGCAATCTTGTTAATACGACTTATAAAGCATTTTAAAACAACAAAAGAACAAGCAGTCGTCGCACAATGCGAATAGCGTAATGAGTGAGTTGTCCAATGCTCCTACCCATTACAGAAGCTTGTTATTGTTCACCTATTAACTGTGGCGCATACCCACTGCAGCCATAATTCCTCATCGTTGTCAGCTGCTGCATGAACAATTCGCACAAAATTTCTTGCAAATGTTCAACGGATACCACTCTCCTCAGAAGAATGACGAAAATGAGCATAGCGAATGCCGGCCTTCTACCCAAAACACTTTATTATTAATGTCGTAGTGGGTATCAAGCAAGTGTGAATGTAATATTTACCCAATGAGCATTTAGAAAAGGCTCTGAAAGGCTGCTTTTCTAGCTTTCGCTGTGACTGTGCTGTGCCTTCCACGCAGGCCTGGCATTTTTCTAATTTCGTGCGATGTGGTTACGAACACCGGCGGCGGCTGCGGCGGACAACTACTGCACTGCGCGAGACCGCAGTTGTGATCTCATAACAGCTTTCGCTGTAAAAGTACAACAAGTGGCATTGACCACTTGCCAGGCTCTGACAAGTAACATGCGGAAACCAAGCTACAGTTGTTTGAGGTGTGTGATTGTAGCTGTTTGTGTGAGTATATATGGAGTTAATGAATTTTTATAAGGGTGTCAAAGGGACTGTCTGCCTTTTGGGGAAAATTTTTTTGATTGTGGTCTAAATAAAAAGATCGTTCATCACATTGGCAGAAATGGGCATGCTTTTGTCTTATAAAAAAGAAATTATAATTTGAACTTTGATGTTAAAAATCGACAAAAAATGACCACTAGCATCACCCAAAAAGTGATGTGGTCAATCTACTGGTAGCACAAGAAATCTCGGCAGGTAGATTCTTTGTGCTTAAATACAAACATGTGTAACTTGAAATTGTATTTTATGCCTTTGAGGCAGCTTTATGTTGCGCCAGAGAGTAAATTTTGCTTTTCTTTTCTCGCGCGTTCGAAGAGGCACTTGGTGGTTCTACCGGCAGTCTGTTGGCTTGCCTGCATGCCTGCCTGCCAACAGCGGAAAAACAAAAAACATGAGCACTCCGTCTATCACCATTCATAAGAACAACAAAAAATGTGTGCATGCCTTCAACGGCCACTATGGTCATTATTTTAATAATAAACAAAACTTGATGAACCCTGCGAAAAATTGCACACGGTTTCAGTTTTCGACTTTCACTAGCAAAACAGTTGTCATCGCCTCCACCGACTAATGTTGTGGGCATTCGTTGCACCGATGGAAGGAGACCGAATGCATATAGAAAAATTCTCTTGAAAAAATTTTCTTCACACTGTTCAGATAAGCCACTTTTATTGCAATGCAAAACAGAAAAGCAGTGAAGGATGGTAGACAGTTCCTTTAATGAGCTTGCAGTGGGTTGTAGCATATTGCAGTGATGTATAAAATAGCTCTGTTTGAATAAATATGTAGTTGAACATCAGCTTGTATCCCTTACTCTGTGGCAGAGGTGGCAAAAATTTCTTGCCAAGACTGAATTGATTAAATGCAATTTCAAAATTTTGTTTTTATCTTGTGTACTGTATGTTGTTTATCAGGCTCATGAACAGTCAGATGAAGGAAAGCTGTAATTGTTATCTTTGTGATCTTTTTCAGGGGAAGTAATTGTGACAGGCCACACGTCTGGATGCATAGTCATTTGGAATGCTCGGGATGGCTGGCCAATAAATTTTATTGAAACGCGTGCAAATTCAATCTGTGATCTCGCCTTTTTCAATCTTCGTGGCCCTGGTAAGGTGCTTTCGCTTTGGTTGTACCAATCGAAATGTGTGCTTTAATTTATGGTTTAGTGATAAAGTGTGCAGTGAGGCAGTATGCACTTTTGGTGTAGCCTTAGTGTGATTATTAAAGATAGCATTATACGGTCATTGCTGGGTGGTTACAATATGTACTCTATGGCCTAAAGGTATGCTATATTGTGCTTTAGACAGTAGAGACGGCAAGAAAATCAACTGCCACAATTATAATTTTCAATTTTTGTTTGTTGCGCTTCTAACGAGCTGTAGGTATAACCTTAAAAGACAAGAGGAAAGTAGAGTGGGTCAAGGAACAGATGGGTGCCAAAAATAAATAGTTGAAATTAAGAAGAAGAAATGAACATGGCCCCGGCACGGAGCGTGTAGGCAGGATAATAGCTAGTCATTAAGGGTAACTGACTGGATTCCCAGAAAAGGCAAATGTGCGAGGTAGAGACAGAAAGTTAAGTGTGTAATGAGATGGGCAATGAGATATAAATTTGCAGATATAGCATGGCAGCAGAAAGCACAGGACTGGGTTGATTGGCAGAACATGGAGAGGCTTTTGCCCTGCTATGGGCGTAGTCAGGCTGATTATGATGATGATGATGATGATGTAACAAGTTTACCAAAAACTTGCAAGGTGTTGGAAAGGATTATAAAGGGAAACTGATTTCCCTGTGGCTTAGGCTACAAATGGGTAGTTGTCAATTTCCCTTTACTGGAAGAAGTGGATACCTCAAATTTTTCTTAAACGATTATCATTATCACTAATATTGCGCAGAAGAAGCGCAGAATCGTACTGAGCGTCAGTTCGTTGGGAACTGCATAACAAAGGGGTGGTTTACAGCTGCCCACTCATTACAGATGGCTCAGGCGTAATTCCCCTGCATCGTCAGCTAAAACATCAAAGGCACACAAAGGCAAAAGATAGCTTATGGCAGAGTGAAAGCTCGATGTATGACAATGTCTAAAATGGCAATATTATCAACAGCAGTGCCTTACTTACCAAGAAATTAAGTTACATGTATCGCACGATGTCGTCATAAGTGGGACATTTGCGAAATGATCCCGAAGACATGAGAGTGTCTGACACAGTTAATTGCTAGTAATCAAACTAGCTGCAATAAAAAAAAAGAACTTTCCGTGCATGAAGGGACATGTTAAAATGCTGCTTGCCTGCTTCTGTTTGATTTGTAGAAAATAGATCCTCCTGGTGTTGCTGCGGGGAATAGCATTTCAAAAGTTCAGTTTTGGCTAGTTAGACTGCATAGGCAGTGCCGTGTAGTGGGGCCCTGTTGAACAAAGCAAGCAGAATCATGGCCCCTGAGATTGCAGAGAATTGTTCAGCGACCGTTGTTACCACTGTGGCTCCCGCTACTTTCACTCTGCTGGTACTGGTGTAAGCGGCCATTTTGTAAATGTTGGGCACAGTAACAGGGGCATCTGAAAGACCGGTTTCAAGTGCAGGTGATTTGAAGTGTGCCAACACGATGCAGACCATTGAAACATCATTTTATTTCAAAATAAGCACTTCCTTGCCACAAAACTAGCACTATGAAATTTCTGGGTTGCTATTTTTGACAATTAACATCAATGTAATATTTGTCTTCAGTGTGCCTTTAATGCAGTGTGCAGCTGCACATCGCAATTTTATCTGAATGATCGGTAGTTGGTACTTAATACCTCGAGGGGAACTGCAGTGTTATGGGGCTTCGCGAGTGCACTTTCAGTAAGGGTCCTCAAAGGGTTTACAGCTTATGCTGCAGCCTTGAGGAACCATTCTTGGTGTGTCCACCTTGTGAACTGTCCACTTAGGCCGCCGCCGATTGGCTAGAGCTCGGCGAGCAGCACACCTTGTTCCTGGTTCTATATCCGCAACATCGTTTCGACATCTCAAGCCTTTCACAACTCGTCACAAATGAGAGGGACTGAATGCACTTCACTGCATAGAATGCATCCCCCAGAGGCTTTTGGATGCACATCTCTGAGGCCATGTGTGAACTCTGATCATGTTTGTCTTTGAAATAGGATTGAGGCATCTGGAATTCGGTACCCATTTCTTGAATCGTCTCAAACATCTGAACACTGAAGTTGAGACTCTTCAGGGTTGTAGAAGAGTCCTGTTACTGTAAATTTCGTTCTTTTTTGTTTAGTGTGGTGGCACGTTCAGATGGGGTCAAGAGCAGGATGACATCAGAGCTTGCCGCATTTTCGAGTAACTTAATCTGCTCCGTAGAAGTCAACACGTCTACAAGGGTATGGACACATCAAGAGTAGCTCCTCAGCTGTGCATTCCGCTCAGGTCTGGCCTTTGTTTTTGAGTGCTAGTAGAAGTATGCTTTGTATCGCAAAAAATAATTTTTTGGCTGTGTACAAAATGTTCTTCTGGCTGTTCTGTGAACAAAACAGTTTGAATTAAGTTGTCATATTTTGATCAGTCAAATTGACAGTATAACTGATGGCTAGTTTTATTAAAATATATCTGAGATATGGTCTGTTGAAAGCAAATCCCACTTGCAGCTACACTGTCACCAGGGCAGTTCTGCTACAAGCGTGGTCACGTTATTTGTGCATCAAATAACTCGCGCCTGGATGCCTACAGCCTGGAAGATACAAGCACCAGCTGTGCCAATCTGTTTCAAACTTCTTACCCAGTTGTGTCCGTGAAGTGAGTGATTTCTTCATATACATGATAAGTTGCCTCTTGGTAAAGTAGAACTTCAATGCTGTAACGATTGTAACTGGTCATAATGAAGGTGCAAAGGGTGCAGGTGATTGTGTCCACATTAGTTCACCGTATGACATCCCTTCTGAACTGAGCTTCTTTAGAAATGCTGCTGCTCTAAACTAAATTCTAGAATGTTCTTATTTTTCTATTGAACATTGGATATGCAAAAGAAATCACTAGGCTTGTGCAGAACACACAGCACAGTCATAACAAAAGCCGGAAGCGCCTCCTCTGCAGAGCTCATTGTTGACCCTCTTGAGCAATCAATACAACTACACGTGCAAAAGGCCTACTATGCCATAAACCACCATAAGTTTCTTTAAGTAGGGAAGCATCCACTATTTGATTACTCGTTATTCTGCAGATAAGCAAGGATTGCTGTGTTGCTAGGCGTAAATGTAAGGCATTATGTGGACTTCTGTTTGTGCTGTGGCTGGTGGTGATGAATTATTGCCGAGTTTTTTATAATGGGATGGAAGCGTCAAACCACACACCCGTTGCATTATTCGCATTGTCTGATGCCTGGTGGTTATTTAACTCTTCTACGGTACCATGTTAAATATGTTAACACATTTTCTTGTCTGACAAGACACCTGTGCAATAAGGTGTTTTACGAAGGAGTTTGAAGCACCTGCGAGGCTCTCTGGTAGAATGCTGTTCTGCCACGCAGGATGTACGGGTTTAAATCCCATTCCTACCTAGAAATTTTTCTTATTGCGTTATTATTTCTCACAATACATTTATTACGGACTAGCGTTGGTTGCGGCATCAAAAATGACTCTTCGTATCTCGAAACACTTTTTGCTGTATTATATTAGGGCCTCGGACATCGCTGTCAACAGAGCCGTTACACAGAGGGGCTGCTTACCAATGGCCAGGTGCAAAATAAATAAATGCAAAGAATGGGAGGGAGCAAAAAATAACAGTGATGACCAGTGGGACCTGTCGCTCAGGTCGACTCCATCATGGAATTTCCTAAAATCGGAGAGGGCCTGGCTCTGTGATCCTTTAGCGACAATGGGAATGAAGGGTAGTACTCGCATTTGCCTAGTCCGGGTGCTTGCAGGCTTTGAACGCAGTTCTGGCTTCATTTATTGCTGCTCCCATAGACACTAGTGCCCAAGTTCCCTCTAGTGTATTTATGGGACACTCTATGGACTTCTTTGCTTGATATTGAAAAGCGAGGTTGAGGACACAGAACCTCGCCAGCTGTTATTCGCAACTTCCGGGTACCGTGGCGCTGCTGTGCGGTGGTGGCCGGAAGCTATGTTGAGATGATCGAAGTGTTGGACCTGCTTCAAAGAGCAGTTGTTGCTGCTTGTTTCCCGTGTTTGTGGTCGTTTTGCAACTTTGTGAACGGCCTCTATATTACCGGAGCCCTTTGAATTTCTCAAGTTAAAGGAAAAGTAGAAAGAAAAAAAATCAACTGATTTCAGTCGACAAAAGCCGACTGATTGCGAGTCTCTATGGTCACAGCCTACATACACCCTAAGGAAATGTAAAACCTCGCATTCAAATTAGCGCCCCAAAAAGCAGCGAGTGGTTGAGAAGGTTAAAATTAACAAGCAAATGAAGCCCGTGAATGTATGCAGCACCCATTTTGTGTATGAGTACAGCAACTTCCTGGTGAGCAGTTTTCGCGCTTAGATCGTTTGCTTGACACGGTCGCTAGGCAAACAGTACCTGAACCAAATTAGGAATGTGTTCCGCCTCCAGAATAGAATGAAAGGACCGGTTTCAAAACGTTCATCACATCATTACACATCTGAGGAGTCTACGAAGTGCCTACATGACCTTCACATCTACAGCAATTTTAGATCGATCTTACTTGCTGATGGCGCTTTTTTTTGTCGTTTCTGCCCCGTATTATGCCATCTTTTGTACTTCTCAAATACCGAAACATATAATAGTAACGGGAACGATCCCTCTTAAACGTGAAAATTGTATATATTACCACTGGTTTCGTTCGTGCTGCTTGCCGAATTCATTCTCTTGATATTCTGTTTTTGTTATTTTAGTCAAGAAAGCACCCTAAAATGATCTTACCGGTAACATGATATGGTGCTTGTGCTGCTTCAAAATTGAAAAACAACTACTTTTTTACGTCAGCTTACTCTGCTTCGCGCTTTTAGGTGAGCTGAACTAGCTTTGCGCAGAATACAATGCAAGAAAAACTGTAAGACGAAGCTCGTCTCCAAAAATGTTTTTGACATTACTGAGAAATTTGTAGTGAGACTCCCATTATTTCCTACATGACACCAGTCGTTGCGCGCGATTACGCCCAACGCCTGGGGAAGAGCGTATGTGTGTGCCTTATTTGCAATTTCATGCATATTTATTTACCCAATGTGCTACCCAGCATTTATTCACTTAATATATTGTGTTAGTGCTCCCCTACTTTCTCAAAAACATAAACCAAATAAATGGCCACTGATGCAGCGAAAAAATGCAATCTCGCCAAAAGTGTACTTTCCGGTACTGCCTCTTTCGGTGCGATCATCTCAACGACAGCCATGTTGGATGTAGAGTCGCACCACCTATAGGTCGTGAAAGTTGTGAATAGATGCTCATGCTTGATTGACGATGATAGTCAGTAAGAGGGGCCTGACATTCTTGGAAATTCTTTTCTGGTTTAACTTTTTCCTATTTCGCATAATAGCGGTTACAGGCGGCAGCGGATAGCTCCCGCACAGCCACTGCCGTTGTAATCAGAAAACAGCGCCCTCTGTAAATCTCTCAGGCCTTCATCTAAGACGACTAGAAGGCAAAAAGCCATCGTCTTCTCAATCGATTGCATTGATTCTGTCCTGCTACGCACCAAAAGCTCCCTGCACGTAACGTGGTTTTGCCTCCATGATCGGCCCACCATTGACCTAGCTACAACGTCATGTGATTGTCATCGTGTGACATTACATCACATGACTTCACAATTTCGGTGATCTTTGATGTCACGATGACGTCATCGCATGATGGTTATTTTTTGCATCACTTGGGTTGCCACTGCTGATAAAAGATTACAATGTCAGACAACGGTCAATTTTTGTGAATGACAAGGCATCTAAGGTTTCTGCCTTAAAAAAACATGTTTATTTCAGAATCACTTTGCTGTAATGATGATAACTACAGGTAAAGTTTAAACTGACCACTACACACAGCACGACGCACACACAGCACACCAGCACACACACACACACACACACACACAACACACACACACACACACACACACCACACACACACACACAGAGAGAGAGAGAGGCAGAAAGCAATACGTGTAGGTACAGTCTACAAGAAAACTTGCAGTCGACAAAATGGTACTAGGAATTTTCTCGGGGTGTGTACAGGTCCTTGAAATCCTTGAAAAGGCTTGAACTTGAAAAATGTGTTTTAAAAGCCCTTGAAAGTCCTGGGCTTTTTCCCCGACCTTGAAAATCCTTGAATTTCCTTAGCAGTGCTCACTCATATTGACATTGTGACCTCACTAATGTGGTAGACTGGTGAGCCGACGTGACAAGCTCCCCATTTCAAAAGCAGTAATGCGGTGCAAGCCCACATGGTTCCTTTTTACAGAGCTGCACCGAAAAAAAAGTCAGTTTTGCAATGAAGGCAATGCATTCAATGCAATAGCATGAAATTAGAACGTCACACAAAGAATACAAGCAAATCGATACTTCCAGCGGGCATGCCACTCAATAATGAAACAAAAAAAAAAAAAACTCGTGAAAAGAACACAAACAATGAGCAACTGTGAGCTCGACAGTTGTAGCACGCTGCTTAAGCGCAAAGAATAACGCTTGTGATATCGAAATGTCCTTGCAGCAGTTGCACAGAACACCAGGACCATATCTATGCCAGGTAACTACTCAAACGCTCAGTTTAAGCAGCATGGGCGCATTACAAAGGATTGAAGTTCAGTGCCTGCTGAAAAGGAGCGCCGAGTGTACCGGCCAAGCTTGTCACTCGGCAACATTCATGCTTTATGTTGGCAACGTCGCTGCCACCAGGTCTGAAACGGCCAGACCAACCTACCACGAAGGCAAAGCATACCTGCCAAGTCTCCCGGATTGGCCGGGAGACTCCCGGATTTTGACCGTTTTTTTCAGTTGTACGGTTGTCATGAAAATCTCCCGGAAATCAATTTCTGTGCATGATCTGGCCGCATTGACAAAAAAAGCAGCTCAATCCGCTCCAGGCTTTTCGAACCTATATATAGCCAATTTTATTATACATGAGTTTAAGAGGCGTTCATGTAAACATACAGTATAATCAGTGATGCAAAACCGCGGCAAATACAAATTCTTGAAGTTCCCCAGCCAAATTTTACTATGTACATTAGGCCTCGATTCGAATGTTCCGAACACATTTCCCAATTGTACATAAGGCCTGAATTCAAATGTTCCGAACACATTTCCTAATCGCGACGAGTGATACGAACTTTAGTACGAAAACCGTCAAACGAAGGCCGAGAGCAGCGTACTCGAAGCTTCGAAAGTGCGCATGCAACCGGCCCACGCACTGTCTTCTACAGTGCGTGTGATTGTCGTTGCCACAACCTTTGTAGACGAAACCGTGGTCGTTCTTGACACGATCATGTATGGCGACGATGTAACTGACAGAACCCCGAAAGTGTGCGCTGAACCAGTCAAAGCAACGCTGCTTTCCGCAAACTCTGCAGACAAAACTGCGGCAGATGCTATTGTAGATGGCATAAAATGACTTAGTTTTGGAGACGCGTGCGCAGCCAAACGCATAGCGATTGTAAAATGAACGCAACCGCCGCGCACAAAACCGTAGTCACGGCGACCCGATAGTGATCTACGAGCCTCGAGAGCACGCAGCAGTAGGTTAAAGGCATTAAATACGTAAAAAAACAAAAAAAAACGTTAGTTTCGCCGCATGGGTGAAGCAATAAATGCGACAGGAACTTGGAATGTAACGCTGAGAACGGCAAGCAGATCGAAACGTGCAGCGCGCTGCTCACACACAAATGACGCACGAAAACGACACACGCAGGACGAGAGCGAACTAATGTTTACCGCTCGACACGTAATGTGCAGTGTAAACCAAAACGATGCACGATACGTAATCACAGGTACAGGTGAGTACTAACTAACAAGTGCCCCAGTTGTTATACATCGCTGTGTATGAAAAGCGCGCTGTTTTCGCAAAAGGGGCTTGTGCAGATACCAAAGTGACCTTTGTGGGCCCGGCAACTAACATTTTCATTTCAGTGAAAGAAGGCACACGATTCTCCCACCACAGGATAAGCGCTCGCGCACAGGCATCTACCCCCCCCTCCATAGGGGCAAAGTACACGTGAGAGATAAGCACACATCCGTGCCGAATACGGGTGGCTTATTTTTCTTTGAGTGTTCATATATATAGATACGTATACATATATGGTGAAAGACTGCGGTGATGGTGACTGCAAAAGAAAAAAAAAAAAACAGCCTGGACTGTCTATATAAAATAAAAAAGGTCTAGACGCGTTTTGGCGTTCCTGTCAAAAGTCTAGTAGTGAGCAAAACGTTGACCTGCGCTTTTGCGGCAGCCAGCTGCGCCATCCAGTCCCTTCACGTGTGTCCCAGAAAGACACACGCGAGTTGTTTTGACTGAAATAGATTTTGCTAGTTTCTGGATCCTTTGAGACTCACCTTAGTGAAAAACTCTACCTTCGTGTGTGCGGCCACTCCTAGCCACTATAAGACCGCAACGCTGATGCTGGCGCTTGCTACGGAGACCTATCCCCACCCCCTTTTGTTTTTCGCGATGTTTGTCCGTACTTGGTTTTTTTATGTGCCCCCCCCCCCCCCCTTGCCCCCGTTGCGGAATCTCCCGAATTCAGAATCCTTGAAGTTGGCAGGTATGGCAAAGTTTGTGCTTGCATAGCCTCTCAAGCACAGTCCTGATGGGTTCCTAGGTTTTCCTTCCAAACTAGATTAAAAACATTTTTTGCTTGTAGAATTCGAAAACGACGGGGTTGCCATTTTGCAGGTCCATTGTGGACCTGCAAAATTGCGATTCCCCCCCTTGAGCGCTCCTCGCAGATGACAAGTGCATAAATCCTCTATATTATTTATCTTTGTGTAAGTAAAATAGCATTACTCTGATTGTTCTTAACCTGTTTGGTGAACGTCACCAAGTTTAACTGCTGTTCTGAAAGGTTATTATGTATGGTGAGCTGTTTTTCATAGTGTTGCAAGGTGATCCAGGCTAATCATTATCATTGTGATATACATTTAGTTATCTTTGTATTGGTTAAGTAACACTGCAATGGACGCTCTGAATATAGTTGAACTTCAAGCCTATACTGGAGCAGTGCCAACCACTTTTGTAAACGTTCATTCTGGTGATTATGAGAAGTTATGAAGACCACATTTTTATATAATTGCTATGTCCCATTATTTATTGAAAGGGCAAAAAATTGATAAGTTTTTAAATTTAGTGACATTCTAGTGTCATGCATTTAATTCCTTGATAAACCTGCGACAAGTACTTGAATATCCTTGATTTTTTTCCTTGGGAAAGCTGTACGATCCGTTTTGTTTTTACAAGATTGAAAGGTCTTAGGATGCATTATCGGCGAGACACTTTGTGGGCCCTGCTTAAAAATTTTTTTTGTTGTTGTTTTTAATAGATCTCTGTCTCCCAGACTTTATATCTTCACCACTTCATAAATTCGCAACGCTACACGCCCCGGAAATTGGTCAAATTTCAAGCCACTTGCCCTTCTAGTAGGCTCGCTCCCAGAGAATGGCTTACACGGTGAAATGGTCCTACAAAGTTGGTAGTTCTGTAACGTCGCTCCTCTAAGTAGGCGCCTCTGCTCTGACATAACCAGCGGTACCATGTCTCACTGCGATAATTATTTTACACAACATTGTGCAGTTTGTGTAATTTGTAGCTTTAGTACTAGATGAATAGATCTTAATAGCAATAATACTCACAATGTCTGCATGTTATTTTTTTAACTTTACTGTGCATTGCAGAAACATGCGACACTAATCTGCCTTCGTTCCACATGCATTCTTATTTGCACTTTGCACATCGTGCATACGCCACCTCTCACAATGTAACTAATTTTTGATTATGTTCCAGTGCTCACTAGGCTCATTTTTATCTTCTCATGTGTGACTAAACGTTTGTGCTACATAATGCTTGCCTTGTGTTCATACAGATGTCACACGTTTCATGCTCAGCAATAGGTTGAAAGACAAGTGATCTGCGAGGGCACATTCAGCATAGCTTAAAGAGATGAAGCAGAGAATGCTGGCACAATAGCTCTCACGTCTTGGGAACTCTGGCTATCGGCACGTCACGTGCTTGAGACCTCATGTGCGCATAACGTGCTCATGCATATGCGCCTTGTGATCCTCCCGCTCGTGTGCCTGAGAGGGCAAGAAAGGGATCTGGCTTGCAAAGGCTACACAGGGCAAGCAACAAGGCTTTAAAGCTTGCCTCCTTGCAGCATAGTTTTGTGCCACTTTAAAACATTGGTTTTGTCAGCTACTAAACGACCACTTAAAAATATTCTTGTGGCATAATGCTTTTTATTGGGTGCATATCTTCTAGTGTCTAACTTTACTAGTTATGTCGTCTAGTGAGGGGCCATTGAAATAAGGACTTTGACTGTTCGTGACACGTTTATGACATGCAGCGACCATCCTCATGTGAAGCTTTTTCATTCTGTGCTATCGCCGTTTCTCCATTTTTGAGTCGGGTCACTACTAGCCCGCTTTTTGCTGCTTGTATGTGCACTTGACTGTATATTGTACATTGTTATTTCATTGTTCAACAGTACAGCTATTGCAACATGGCTTTTGGTTTTGTTCTACTGAGGTGTGTGCTTCACTAAGGACTTTGCTTACCATTTTGCTCTTTGCAGGATCTGCAATGACCGGCTGGCCGCTCTGAGCTTGTATAGGTGTGTTCTGTCTCTAATGCGGCTGACATTGACCGCAGGCGGGGTTGAGTTTCACCCCCTGCTGAGGGCCTTCTTGCAAGAGCGTTTCTGCTCATGGATAGGCCTAAATGAGCACTGTGTGAGTGGGATGCTGTATTTTTGCACTGGCAGCATGATCGCCTGCACATGCATGCACAGGGTTCTTCTCTATTAGGGGTATATGTCAGTTTTTAGATAATATCTTCGAAACTGACTCAAGTATTGCCATGAAATTTCACAATAAATGGCACTGGGCATCACGTGATTTTGCTTCTTTATGTCTATGTTGCCTGTCCTTCCTGTGGACCACTCTTAAATTTTAAAGTTGGTTCAGTTCTTCGGTGTGGCTTTTCTCTGCTATGACAGCAAGGAATGTAATGATATTCAGCCGGGTTATTGGGGAAACTTGTAGTTTATATCTGAACTTAAAAAATATAACTTCCTATGTGTAGTTTCTGGAAAAAAAAAAATACTTCATGCGCAATGCTACAGAGGGTGCTGTTTTGATATTTTTACTGCTTGACTTTTTATGAAAACAGTAATTTTTTTTAGTTGACTGTTTGCAACATTTTTGTCGCTTATGAATGCAAGATTTCATCGATATCGATTCAATACATTTTTATAAACGGTACATTGAAGTTGAAAAATGTATAAAAAATGCTATTAAAAAATAACAAACACTAATGCACGCATACCGCTTATGGCAGAGGGCACGAGGCATACGTTGGCGCAGCATTAAGGCCGCTTGAAGTGGCCACTCAACGTCAGGCTTCCACAGGTTTCTCCCTAGAGTAGTGCAGTTGATTTTTCTGTGTCAATCTTGCAAATTAAATTTTGGGGGGTTTTACCTTACCATACCACCTTAAGAGGGAAGAGTTTTATTTCACCCTGTGTCTGCAGATTTACTTTGTGACCATTGCCTTTACTTTGTGACCGTTACCCTATGACTACAAGATAAATCAAGCTTGATTAGAGTGGAACTTCTTGAAACTTGTTTCTGTTAGTTTCAATGGATAAAAGTTCAGGGGAAGATGATTGAGGCGGGCCAAGTTCTATAGGTCACCTATACCCTTTACCCTGTGCCCGTGTGACCACCATATAAATGAGGGCCAAGAATTCAGTAACTCTGGAAACTTGTTTACAATAGTTACAATAAATAGAATTTCTAGGTAAGATGAAGATTAGGAGGGGCCAAGTTTCACCACAGCTCACTTTTAGGCTTTGATCACAGGGTAAACGAAGGTAAATGGGAGTCGGTCAGTTAGTAAAATTTACTCAGGTCCTAAAGAACTACAGAGCCGCTGAAGACCATGGTCCTCTGCCTGTTCATGGGCCCTTTTGAAAGCCCTTCCTGGATATTGCCACTTTTCAGGTTTTGTAGCAACGCAGACCATTGCCAGAGCTTTTGAGCCAACAAACAATATTCTTCATGGAACTGAGGGCAGTGGGAGTAAATGTCCAGGGCAAAGTGGCTAAATTGTCCTCTTTACAAGAAATATTCGGTGTGTATCACCGAATATGAATGCGTTGCTGGGCTAGTTGGTTGTAATATTAACACGTGGAAGCGCGAAATTGACAAGGACATTACGAGGAAGGAGAAGGATAGGACAGGATACTAACTCGCAACTAAGCTTCATTAAGAAGTGTGCCTAATTATATGCACAGCCGAACGGCGCACGCAGGCACAATACAAATCACATACAACGCTAACCAGAAGTGGCAGAGCAACATACCATAAAAGTCCGCATATAGCTAGGACCCGCATATATAGTCCGGGGTGTAAGTTGAGGATAGCAAATGCAAGAAAAATGTTTTCATCCAAATATAGCCGGAGTAAAACGGAAAAATGCATTTATTGACACACTTCATTCATCGTCATCGTTGGACAAACTCTCTTCCGAAGCTCCCTTGTTGGAAATGTTCTTCCACAGCACATCATCCTCATTGCCTTCAAGCGTGTTCGAGATGGAGCACTTTTTGAAGGCGCAACAAACGAGCGCCTCGGGAATGCAGGCCCAAGCCTCGACTATCCACGAACAGAGCATTGCTGGCGAGGCCCGTTTCAGCCATCGTCCGGCAGGGGCACTCCTGGTTCTCTGGACCTCATCCACTTTGCATACAGGAGCTTGACATAGTCCTTCAATGGCTTATTAAGGCACACATTAAGCGGCTGCAGCTGTGATGTCATCTCTCCCGGGATGACGACGAGATCGATGCAGGAGTCGCGCAGGAGTCGCTTTACGAAGTCGGTCAGGTGACACCAAAACCCATCGAACACAAGCATCGAAGGTAGCCCCAGTAGCACTTCAGGCCGGCGACACCACGCAGACTTTATTCATTCATGCACTAGCGATTCGTCCATTCACCCCTTGTCCTGGCAGCAGACCACTACATTTTTTGGGAACTTCTCCCCCTTTGGCAACGTGTTTAGTTTGAACACCATGTAGGGGAGTAGCTTGCGACCGTCTGCAGTGCAGGACAACATTACAGTCACCTGCACTTTTCGTTCTCAGTTGATCGCAAGATAACTTGCCTGAAGCCTTTCTGATGCACCGTCATCGCCGAGCTCTTTGTTGCTCTTTGGTAGCTTCCGCGAGATCGACGTACGCTTATGTAAGGAGAACCCAGCGCGGCGCATAAGGAGAGACATTCAATGCTTGCTCGCTTCGAAATCCTCCGGCTGAATGCCTTTGTCTCGGGCGATCTCCCTTGCCTTTGCTTGTAACAGCTCGATGTTAACGGTGAGATGTGCAGCTCGCTGCTCCCAAAAACAGTCTGCGAGTTCTCGCTCCACGTCGAAAAACGCTCCATTTTTTTGTCCGCGGAAGCTTTTTTGCTGGCCGCTGCAAGCAAAGACGCACCCTTCTGCTTCTGCCAGCCGCGAGTACTCCGCTCGTTGGCACCGAACTTCCGCTCCGTGGCACAGTTGCCAATGGTGTCGGCAGCAGTGATAACTTTCCTTTTAAAAGCAGCCGAGTACTGCCTGCGTGGTGCTGACATGGTGTAAAATCACAGGAGCAAGATCATGGCCGTCGTTATGGGTGCCAAGTTGAAGCCAGGGCCACTCACCACTGTTGCACATGTGGGTCTGTAAGGCTAACGCCTGCTACTGCTGATAACCCTATCTAGCTCCTACCGCAAAAGTGCGCAAACACCTGATGATGATGATTATGATAGCACCGTGCTATGCTGAAACCAAAACTGAATTTCAGCTGAAAATTCTTGGGACCCGCATATAGTACGGTGCCAAAATTTCGTACCCCAAGATCTCGAAAAAAACCCTGGGCTATAGACAAGAGCACGTGCCATCATTTCCGGTAACGTCGGGCAGCTCAATGGAAGCTAGGTTGTCTTCAGCGTTTTTTGAAGTGGCGTCTAGTCATTCTTTGCACATGTTTACATTCCTAAAAAATGGCATCGTTTGACTCTGCTGGATGTGCTGCTGCTGGTCTGCTTCTCACTTTGAGCGAGAGCATAAGCAGCAGCAGTGAGGGCAACGAGCCGTGCATGGTATACAAGGAGTATAAGGAAATGTTTCCTGGCCCGCCATGTGCACTGCTGAAGAATCGCTGAAAATAATCGGCTACGCCACGAAAGTTTCCGGCACCGGTTTAGTGACACATGCATGAACAACTTCCGAAGCAACCTCACGCGGGGCATTCGCGTGTTCCACTCGCAGATCTGGCTTGGCGCAATCCAAGTGCTCGCTCCAGGATTTTGGCGGCCGCTCTGAATCTACCAATGGAATTCGCCATAAGCACTGTCTGTAAAGATCCCAACATGGTCCGGCAATTGTGCCGGTGTGGTGTATCCCGATTGCACAGATTTCCATTCGCAACGAAAAACGCCGAGTTTCGCAGCCAGTGGATATAATCACAATCGGCAGAAAAGCTACGAGTCCAGTAAAGGTGTATGAGTAAATATAATTATTGCTTTTACTCAAGCACGATGCTAACTGTTCCGCTTTACAGCAGCGTTTTGCGTGCAGTATGCCTGTATAGTATGCGGCATCAAATCATTGCCATACTTTTTCGCAGGCTGCATTCCAGTAATAGGACACATTATGACTCACGCGTGAATGCAAGCACCGCTCACGTATACAATTGTAACGGCGTACTATAGCAATGCAAAGAAACGTAAATGGCACGAAAAGCATAGCTTTCGACTCGGTCAAACTGCCGCATGTCTTGACTGAGTAGGCGAATCTGCTTTCAATCGGCGTCACCATTGCATTTTAAAATCTTGTTCTGGTTAGCACTTTCACAACGCGTGTGTGTTCCGAGTGCCCGGCATGAGTGGCAAATGATAAACACGTGCAGTGGATGAGCGCAAGTTGGAGCGCGATTGTAGCGCTACGTTGACGCCGGTTTACAGCACAAATTCTGCCTTGCCACAGCCACGGCACGCCCAAATGCAACTGAGTCGTAAGCAACGCTTTCCACTGTTTGCGTTTCTTTCAATCGCAATAGTACGTACCTGATAAAATTACTTCCGAAGTCTGCAATGCACGTGCTGTAGACATTCCGGACTGTCGAGGAAAGTCTCCTTGACGTTTCACACCAAATCGGCGTGAAATTTCAGCAGAGGAAAAGCGCGAAACATTCTTACAGCCAGACTCGGGTTGTGCAGTTTCACGTTTGATTTGCAGAGCGTCTGCTCACGTGGCAGTTGCATAAGTGTCGCTTTTAAATATGGCAGCATGCACTGAGCTCGCTGTGTTCTGGTGTATAAGCGGGCTTTTACGGTATCTACATATCAGAGCTAAGTTTCTAAAAACAGTTTTTCCTTACTGCACAGCACAACAGAAGTGTCACAAATGCAATCTCCTTCTTTCTTTTAATGACGACAGTCTTTCTTCGAGACCTTGGACGCAAAAATGTTTGTCTGTCTGTCTGTACATTTGTCTGTTTGTCCACTCTTAACGGCATCGAGTACTTGAAACGGTCGACCCCATCCGCAGCGCCCACCAATGTTGCTCAAGATTTAGCCTTCATACTAGTGCAATCGTCAATTAAAAAGCAATTATTGCACATGTCTGGGGCATCATAACAACACGTATATATTCTGTATGTGCGTCTTTTACTATAAAAGGCATATATA